AAAAAAAAACCAAAACAGTGTCATCAAATTAATAAAATAACAATTGTTTGCAGACGACAAAGCTATCCGAGAAAACATCATCCGCGGCGATAACTTTTACTGGGAAGCATCTTGTTCAAAGGCGAATAAAGTAAATTTCATGTTTTGGGATTGGTACTATGGCGCTATGAAATTCATAAAAGACAATATCAAGAATTTATGGGAAGAAGGTCTCGTCGAGGGATTTGCAAGCAATGCATTCTTGGAGGAACAGTTTCCCAACTATCCTATCGGCACCTTTTTGCTACGATTCTCGGAGAGTACAGTTGGTAAGAATTTCTTTTCATCTTTCTTACCTTCTTTGTTGACGAAAAATGTGTCCGTTTCGATTTTCAGGCGTACTGATATTGATGTGGGTGGGAGAGATTGAAGTCGTTCAGGTGCCCCTGAATTCAAGTGAAGAGTTCATGATGAAAAATCGTACATCAAACAACTTAAAAGAGTCTGTCATTGTGAATATTATTCAAGATCTAAAACAGTGTACACAGCTCTGTGACGGCACACCAAAAGATAAAGCCTTTAAAAGTTTCGCCACAACACCAAGTGATAAAAAATCGAGTGATAAAATTACCGAAAAATATAAATTTCTCAAGATAATACATGCCGTAAATAATTCGAGTACAAGCGATGAAAATACCGCAATTGCAGTCTCTAACTCACTTAATTTGAATTCACCTATGCCAAATAATATCTATGGTTCATCTATGCAAGGTAATATCTATAGCTCACCACTGCCAAATAATATCTATGGTTCGCCTGTACAAAGTACTACTTCTGGATCCAATTCACCAGGCTCAAGCATGTATGCTCGATTCACGAACCAATCGCCGGCTCTACCTGAATCCCATAATGATACCACTGGAATGATATGGGATCCAAGTTCAGTAGACAATTATTTCTTTTCAAATACCGAAATAAACAATTTAACTTCTATACTTGAAGATTATGAAATGACCACGCCGATTCAAGTAGACGTTATTAATTCTTTGCAATCTTCAGTGCCAAGCACTCCATCACCGATCGTTGATCCAACACCGGTACCCAAATTTGTGGATACTTTTGGCAACATTTGCAACTTCAAGTGTTCATTCAACTAATTTGATAATATCAATGAGACCTCAATATAAGCTAGATTGTAAATAACCAATGATAATCCATTCAAATGATGATGTGATGCCGATTTTGCATAATTTCTCGTCCATAATTTCCATCTACTTCAGGCCAAAGTTCACACCTGTGCTGGTATTCTAGCGACATAATTCCGATCGAAACTATGGTTTTAAGTGTGAAACAATGTGTTCGATCATTTTACTGTGTTACTCAATGAGTTCGATCATTGTTCCACACACAAAACAATTATTCCGATAAACAATAGTTTCGATCGGAACAAACCCGGTAATATGATGACTATTGTCCGTTCCCAAATCTACGACAACGCCATCTCTTGTTCCCCATCTGTTGCGAATTTTTTAACCAACCATTGATTGGTTCAAATTAAATAGTTTAATATAAATTCAAAAAGGGTTCAAGTCTAATCCCGAATATTTGAAAAATCCTCAGGTAAAATATTAAAACAAAACTTAAAACAATTTTTTTGAATTCATTTTTTTAATTGTCGTCGATTTCATGGAGTAAACATCACACTTTATAACAGAAGAACGAAACATGCTGTATATGAAAATACTAATACATGTGCGCATGCTCAGCTTCATTTCTGTGATGACCACTTTAAGCGTACATGTGATGCTTGTGTATGTATTGTTTCTTTAATCTCTACAGTGTACTTTACTGTCAATTTCGCTCCTTCAAATCGATGGCAATTTATAATAAAATGAATTTTGTATCAACAAATGATTTAAATATGGTTTCAATGATTTAAATGAGGATTTTTTTCAAAAAATTTGGGATTAAAATTAAATACTTTTATTTTACCGTAAAACCTGTCAATAATGGAACCTGGGAATAGTGGAATTCTTGTCAATAGTGGAAAAAAAATTTCGCCGTTGAGCTCTCCCATATAAAATGACCTGGTAATAGTGGAAAATTGTATAAAAACGCTCACCCTCAATAGTGGAAAAAATTTGGGGAAAATTCTTTTGATTTGCTAGGGTTTTTGAAACGCGAGAGAAATTCTTTCGATTTGCTAGGGATTTTAGAGCGGTTTTTGGAAGTAAATTTTTTCCCATTGGAACACTCCTTTTGCTAGGATTTCCCATACAAAAAATTCTTTTGATTTCTAGGAATTTTTTCTAAAATCATCCTTGAAAAATTTTGCTACCTATATAATGATAAAAATATGAATGAATTTTTCCTTTTTTTCAAATTAACCCTCAATAATGGAAAATCATTTCTGAATTGGCAAGAAAACCTGTTATTAATGGAACCTGGAAATAGTGGAATTCTTGTCAATAGTGGAAAAAAAAATTTCCCCATGGGATTCCGTTATTGACAGGTTTTACTGTACATTCAAAACGTTGCAGAAATTCCTCTCTTTTTACTGTCAGTATGGACTGATGACACAATGCACCGTTCCGAATATACAAATGTATATTAAGTTTTTATTCAAAGTAGACAGAAAAATTATCTATCGGAGTTTGAAAATATTCGCAACATTTGTGCTGAAATATCACCGATTGAAATAACTGAGGAGCTTGTTGGACAACAAATTGACATGCTTCCGGATGATCTAGTCAGTGGTCCCGATTAAATACCAAATAAATTTATCAAGCATTGTTTGGTTTCATTGCGGGGGCCAATCACAACATTGTTAAGAGAATCTCTTGAAACATACACTGTACCAC